CAGCCGTCATTGTTGTTTGGCGGGTCTGGGCTGGGGATTCGAACCCGCCACCTTAGGTGTACGTGGCTGGCGCCTTAGCCGGTTGAGCTATAGGCGTCGAGCCAGCTTTCCACTTTAAATAAAGAAATAATAGCACCTATGTGAGGTTATTAAACAGATTAAAGGCATGTATAGCATTTACACTGGAACCCGGCACCTGATAACTGCTCAAGAAACATTAATAATTATTACTAGTATTTCATATATTGGTATTATCCTTCCAGTAGATAAATGTATAACTGTCTATCAGCATGATTCAGGATGACCAATGGCCTTGTATTTGCTTTCCGATGTCTGCAATTCCTTTAACAGAACACTTATTTTAGATTTGGGGCTATCAGAAAGTAGATTTGACTCCAAGTTCCAGAAAGTACGAGTTATGCGACCACAGAAGTGAAGGTGAGCAGAAAGCACAGATGCCCTAGAATTCCAAAGCCCTCGATTCAGGCACCATTAGTTGTTAGTTATGTCACCTTGCACTTAATCCCTGTAAGTGTTAGTTCTTCATCTTCATAATAGAAATGAAAATAAGAAATAAAATGGAGGTGACAAATGTGTTTATTTTCCACTGTATTTTCTTAAATTTCAAACTAGATAATATGTGTGAAAATCAAACATGAGCTATCACTGGAGGAGTCATCAGTTCTCCAAGTCTGTTTTCTCATCTATAATATTTGAATGATGCCAGCTTCATCTGGCTCCTTCAGTTACCATGGAGGATAAAAGCAGAACTTGTGAGCTAATAAAACATAAGAATATTTTCTCTTATATTTAGAGATAAGGCTTACTGTACATTCCGCCAAGAGAGGTGATGGCAGCAGATACCGTGGAGCTCCACACCCCATCCCCTTTGCCCATGTTCAAGGACGTGGGGTACAGTGTCTTGCATGCCAGGGTCCCACGGCAAGCAAGCTGCCAGCTAAGGCACTTTGGAAGTGTTGGGGAACGAAGGGAAGGTTCTAGGGGGACCCTGACCAGCCTTTCAGTGGAAAATTCTGAAGCATTCTGGCTCCTTGCCTCACAGTGTCCCAAGTGGGAGGAACTCCTGCTGCCTGTGGTGGGGACCAGCTCAGCAGTTCACTTTTTATCAGCTTTTCTTCTTTGCTGCCTTATCCTCCCCACACCTTCATTTCTGCTTTCTGGAATCAACTCCCAAATAGACTAAGTCCTAATTTCAGGCTCTGCTTTAACAAGGGAACCCAAACCAAGACAACGAAAGACTGAAACATTTATTTAAAGGTATGGCTGGCTGTTGTAATAACAATCCTTCCCTTTCATGGGGCTTAGATGCAAAGTGGAGGCAAGGAGTGAACACAAAGGCGCTATGTGCCTGATGGGAGGGGCTTCGGGCACAGAAATGGGGAACCAAAACTTCAATAACATGTACAAGGAACACTGTTTTTCATGTTTACCTTGTGCTAATCCTAGTTTTACAGACCTCTGCGGCCTACCAGCTGAGAAGACTCTCAGAATCGAAGCTTTGGTCGACACGGAGGCCCTGATGTTATACCGCTCGTGCCTGGGGCTTAGATTTGAACCAGTGCCATGAACTGACTGCACAAGAATTAAAGGAACCCTTTGAGATTCTGCCAGCACAAATGTAATCCAAATTTAAATCTAATCAACATCCACCGAGTGCCAACCATATGCCCAGTATGATGTTACGCACATAGTAACATTTGTAGCCTTAAGCTACAAATATAAATAAGTTTACATAAAGGCACAAATAACACAGTTTGCATCCTATGCAGTAAGATATGTCTCAGTAGAACATATTCAAAGCATTTGTCATAAGCACTGATTACCGCTGAAGGCAAGGAAAAAGAAACCAGGGAAGCGACTGTATAGGCTAACAACCAGAAACGGGGATACTAAAAGGAGATTCATTTCTATTAGGACATTTTTAACAAACTTCCCAGTAGCACTGGACTTAACCTCGGCATGGAACAAATTCCAAGTCTACTAATGAGATTTACGTTACTAACTTCAGTTGGTGAGGTACGAAATTTTCTAAAATTGGAATTTTAAGAACAGATACCCAATCATTAGTCTCTAACCAAGTGTTAGTACAGGCACCATTGTGATCTGACTCAGATTGTCATAGGGACACAGAGCATTTCATTAGCTTAGCACTGACAGCTTAACCCTACTTCC